AATGTTCTCAGTGCGAGTGGGACCCATACGATCCATATGAACCAGCTTAAGTGGACACTTGGTTATCAAGCTATTCACCTTTTTGTGCGGGGCACGAGTTTGTTTGCCCAATTGGCATGGCCCACACATGTGATTCAAAGACTTACTCAATTTTGACACTCCTCGTACAAGTTCCTTATTGGCGATCTTAGTTAGGTCTTTGAAATTGATGTGACCTAACCGTTGATGCCACAAGTTAAGATTGCTTATGGTGGCAGAATGACAAGTAAGATCACTGGTTGTGACAATACCATAACAATTGTCAGATGTGCGCACACTCTGCAAAATGGTATTTCTATTTTTGTCCAAAATCTCGCATTTATCTTTTGAAAATAATACCTCATGGTGTGTGTCACGCATTTGATTAATGCCCAAAAGATTAGCCTTAAGACCATCAATAAGCAATACACTGTCCAATTTAGGTAGACCAGGAGCACTTATAGAGCCCTTACCAATGACTTTAGAGGTGCTACCATCTCCAAATGTAACAATTCCTCCTTTATAATTTTCAAGAGATGTGAAGTAGGACTTGTCACCGGACATATGACGAGAACAACCACTATCAAGATACCACATGCGCGAGGCACGCGCTTTATAAGCAGTGTGAACAACAAAACAAGATAGGTCACTTTTTCTCACCCACACTCTTCTAGTCTTGACTAGAGAGGGATCATCAAGATTCTTGGGTGATGTCTTGGCATTGAGAGTACCATTGTGAGCCGTGGTATTCCGCCTTGACATGTAGGGTTGTCTCCTGACCCACGAGGTGTTAGGATTTCTTCTACATCTTTGAGACACCCTATCAAACAACTCAAAACAATAAGAACAAATGTGACCATATCTACCACAATGATGACAAAAAAAAAAAAAAAGGCTCTATACCTCATTTTCACAATTCATACCAACTTTGGGTTGATGTTGAAAATTGCCAACAAGTTGCACCTTTCCTTTTCCCTTTCCTTGAGTCCTTTTGTCATGAGATGAAGAGGCACTTCCATGTTGCGGTTGATTACCACCATAGCCGATCCCGCATTTGTCTGAACTCATTTGTTGAGACCCAATGATATCTTCCAACATCTTTGATCCTTTGTTCCATAGATCAATTTTCGCCTTTGCACTTTTGAGTTCTTCGTTTTTTTTGACAAGTTCCTCCAAAGTTGCTTGAGACATCTCGAGAGTTTCAATCTTTTCTTCATAGATTACATAAATTTTCTGAAGTTCATTTCTCTCGATCTCGCACATCAATAGTTTTGCAGCGAGGGCTTGACGATCACTAGAGATCTTGATAGCATCATTCCTTGTCTCGGACACCTCTGTCTTTAATTTGACGTTCTCACTTTCACAGGCTTTGAGTTTGATAGTGAGTTTGTTGTTTAACTTAGACAAGTTAAGAGATTCCGTGTACAAGTTTTCATATGCTTGTTGGAGCTCTTCACCATCTATTTGATCTTCACTCGCAGAAGATTCATCACTAGCCGCATCATTCACCGATGAAACAACATCCTCCCTTTTGATTTTCTCCTTCCTTGAGTCTATCCAGCCGAGCGACTAGAACATGAAGTCGAAAGGAAACAGATGCTTGTGATGATGATTCTGCTCTTTCATGGACTTGCATTAACACATCCCAAGCATCTTTAGCATTAACGCAGTGAGAGATGCGTTGTTCTTCTTCTTCAGAAAGAGCTTCCCTGATGATGTTCAAGGCACGTTCACTACTTTCCATATCAACTCTCACTTTCCCTCCACTCTTCTATAGGCTTGATGGATTTTTGATTTGTGATTGGATCAATCACAAATGGAGCTTCAATATTTTCTTCAATTGTTTGCCAACCTTCTGGATCCCAAGCCTTGAGGAACACCCTCATTCTACATTTCTAGAATAAATAGTTACTCCCATCAAAAGTAGGAGCACGATGGAGGTTGGCACCTCTTGCGAACTGAACGAGCCTTGGAGTAGATTGAGGAACACTAGAATAAAATGCCATGAAGGTTCCCTTACCATCTTCTCTGGAGTTTGCTTCATCGGCCTCTTGCTCAGATTCACTCTCAGCATCCCAAGTCATGGTGTATACTTTCTTTTTGTTTTTCTTGGAAGGACATTCGAGAGTCATATGCCCAAACCCTGTCCTCTCATTATCTTTTTCTCGGGTTTTGAAACAAATTTGAGAAAAATACAGTTGAGGTGAGACGTTGAAGTTTTGTGAAAAATACATCAAATGTTTCATCCTCACGCATAAAAAGGGTTTCAAAAGTTGAGGTGAGACGTTGAAGTTTTGATCTTTTAATAGAAGTGGTACCCTCGTGAATCGTTTCAAGAATATCCCAAGTCTCTTTTGCCACCTCACAAGTACAAATACAACGGAACTCTTTCGGGGTGATGGAGCAAAAGAGGGAATTGAGACCTTTACCGTTCTACCTCGAGTTTTGATAATCAATTGTATCCCATTTATCAATTAGTTTGGGAATTTCAACACCTTCAACAATCAAAACCCGGTTCACTCCACCCATAGATAACAGAATGCCAAACTTTATCATCAATAGATTTTAAAAATGCCCTCATATGAGCTTTCCAATATGAGTAGTTTATTCTGTCAAGTAAAAGAGGTCTATGGGTTGAGTTACCTTCACGAATTGAATCTATAAATACAAATCACACAAAATCACTCCTATAGCTTAGAAAATAATCAAAGAACGAGTGACCTGCTCTGATACCAATTGAAAAAACTTAAGTGATTCGTGATTCAATATAGATTAAATTGCAATAAATCCCAAACACACAAAACTAACAATCTAAATCATCTAGTTTGTACGAAAGTGATTTAGATTGTTGTTTCTCAATAGATAAATCAACACAAGAGATTTAACGTAGAAAACCTATAATTAGAGCACCTCCAATTGTGATAAAAAATCACGGGCCAAAGGCTACTAAACAATCCACTATGAAGATAATGAAATTACATGAGTACAAACAATTACCCAACTCACTCTAGTAATGTCTTCCACTCCTTGTGCCGCTTCCACCTACGCCTTCGTCTTGGGATTGATTAGTACGGTGTTGATTCCATAACACCCTAGTTGAATCCACAGCTACGAGCTGCTTTGAACTCCTTCAAGGTATCCAAGCTCAACTTCTCGGAGACGCTCTTGGCATAGAAGTTCATTTTCGCTCTTGGTCTTACTAGTGCTTCCACAATGAACTCTCTTGATGGTTGAATGGTGACAAACTCCTTGATGTGTACAAATCTAACCAAATGAGATGGAAATCTCACAATGACATCAAGGGAAACAATGAAAAAACTCCCTAGCACCAAGCGCAAGTGTTCTTGAGGCTGAAAAGACAGAAGTGGGAGTGGCTAACCCTAAAGAACAACATAAGATGCCTTGTATAGTAGTTTTGGGCCGCACAGACCGCTTGTGCAAAGGAATGGTCGCTCGATAGGTGAGTCTAGAATGCGTGCGCACATAAGAGCCTTCGCTCGAGCCACCAAGTGTGCGCTCGAGCGAAGAAAATGAGCTCTCAGACGTTTGGCAGAGGAATTGAAATACTGAGAGCAAGAAATCTTTGCTTGAGCGACAACTTGGTCGCTCGAGCAGTGAGCCTAGAATGCGTGCGCACACAGAAACTTAGCTCGAGCAAGCCACCAAGTGTGCGCTCGAGCGAAGAATGCGAGTTCTCAAAAGTTTTGTAAGGGCCTGATCTACTGAGAGCAGGGATTCTTCGCTCGAGCGATGACTTGGTCGCTTGAGCAGTCCAAGGGAAAACAGAGGACAAAACATAGGGTTTACAATTGAAAAGTGAGTTTCCGCGGAATTGACAACACAAGGAACCTAGCAGGTTATCTGTTTTCTCTTTCTTTAAGCATACACTTTAGGGTCAGTTCATTATTGGAACCGTATCTCAAAGTGCCGAAGATGTGAAAAGAGTACATATCATTTATTGTTATGATCTCCTTCCTGGATTTTCTTTGAAGATTGAATTCATAATCCATTTTGCTATAGATAATGGGAAGCTTATTTCAATATTAGCTTCCATAGTGTAGTCATTCTCAAATGCCTGGTCTTTGGTTGATGGGTTTAACATGTACTAGTATTACTAGATATTTGGAGCTTGAGAGGTTTCCAAATTAAAGGCGATGACTCAGGATACATGAAATGCTGTTTTTCTAAAACCAGGATCAGTGATGGGGGGTTGATGATGATCTATATCTGTCGTCATTTTTTTTTTAAACATTTTTGTTTGGTGTAGCGGTAAAGCTGCCCCTTGGTGACCTGGTGGTCACTTGTTCGAGTCGCAGAAACAGCCTCTCCATTTGCGGGAGTAAGGCTGCGTACATCAACCTTTCCCCAGATCTTGCTCAAGCGGGAGCTTCGTGCACTGGGTACGCCCTTTATTTTTGTTTGGTGTAGCTGAGACAAGGAAGGCTGCTTTTTTTTTGTTTTCTTTTTAAAATTCTGGATTCAGTTTGGTCTTACCAAAACTACATTCCTTCAACATATAGCCCACTGAAGAAAGTTAGACTCAGAGCTTAGGTGGATTTTTGTATGAGACGCACATCAAGCTTGATGTCCCAATTGTTAAGTGTATCACATTGCAATCCTTAAGCTCCTTGACATTTTATGTCTTTTTTATAGAATGAACAAACTACTAAAGAGAAGGTCCTTACATTCACTTATACCTTTTTCCTTTGTTAAACTACCTCTGGGTATTTGTCTGTAACATTCATCTATTCTAGTTTGCCCTTTCGTAGCAGTTCTTGGAAGCCAGGGGGCTCATGTTAATTTTTTAAAAACAGTTTGTTGTCTATGCGTGATCCGCCTGGAATCAATTTGAATTTTTTCATCATGACATTAATGTGAAATGTTGCATATTGGCAACGACATATTAAACAGTTTTTTAGCTAACTTCCATCAGTTTTGCCTCTGAATGCTCTGTGCTTCTCATAATTTTGTTATGTATTTAGGAATGCTTACAATATGGTCCTGCACAAATTTGGAGAGAAACTGTACTCTGGACTTGTGTTGACTATGACATCACATCTAAAGGAAATGGCAAAATCAATTGAGGCTGCACAAGAAGGTTTATTTCTAGAAGAGCTAAACAGGAAATGGGCAGACCACAACAAGGCATTGCAAATTATCCGAGACATGTTAATGTACATGGACAGAACTTTCATCCCTAGTACGCACAAAACCCCAATTCATGAACTTGGTTTGAATTTGTGGAGGGACAACATTATCCACAGTAGCAAAATCCAACCAAGGCTTCAGGATACACTCCTTGAGCTTGTGCAGAGAGAAAGGACCGGTGAAGTTATAAACAGGGGTTTGATGAGGAATATAATGAATATGTTCATGGATTTAGGTGGTTCTGTTTACCAAGAAGATTTTGAGAAACCTTTTCTTGAAGTCTCGGCTGATTTCTATCGTGGTGAGTCTCAACAGTTTATTGAGTGCTGTGATTGTGGAGATTATCTAAAGAAAGCTGAGAAATGCCTGAATGAAGAGATTGAGCGAGTCTCCCACTATTTGGATGCAAAAAGTGAAGCCAAGGTCACTAATGTGGTGGAGAAGGAGATGATCGAAAGTCATATGAATAGATTAGTCCATTTGGAGAACTCGGGCTTGGTTAATATGATCATGGATGACAAATATGAGGACCTGGAAAGGATGTACAACTTGTTCCGAAGGGTGTCTAATGGACTCTCGATAATTAGAGATGTCATCACTTCTTACATTCGGGATACAGGTAAGCAGCTAGTTACTGATCCAGAAAGGTTAAAGAATCCTGTAGACTTCGTGCAGCGGCTATTGGATGTCAAGGATAAACATGATAGGATTATCAGTGTGGCATTTTCCAATGACAAGACATTCCAGAATGCTCTGAATTCCTCATTTCAATATTTTATCAATTTGAATCCCCAGTCTCCGGAGTTCATATCTTTGTTTGTGGATGATATGCTCCGGAAGGGACTGGAAAGGGTCAGTGAGGAGGACCTTGAGATTGTACTGGACAAGGTGATGATGCTTTTCCGTTGCCTTCAAGAGAAGGACCAGTTCGAAAAGTATTACAGGCAACATTTGGCAAAGAGGCTTCAATCTGTGAAAACCATCTCTGACGATGCAGAGAGGAGTCTGATAGTTAAGCTCAAAACGGAATGTGGGTATCAGTTTACTTCAAAATTGGAAGGTATGTTCACTGACATGAAGACATCTCAGGATACAATGCAAGGGTTCTATGCAAACATGGGTACTGAGATAGGAGACTAACCGACATCTGCTGTCCAGGTTCACACTATGGGCTCTTTGCCGACTCCATCGGGTGCTACGTGCAACCTTCCATCGGAAAGTAAAATTATAATTAACATACAAGAAGGCAAATAATACTAGGATGACTCTTTCTCTTGCCATATTTTTGTAGTTTTAAGTAGTATTTACCCTTGTATTATTGGCACACATCATACTGGAGTATGACTTTAAAATGTTTGAATTGTATTTATGTTTTGAAATGGTGGTTATGTACCTTCGTCTGTTACTTGCTGTTCTAGTTGGAGAAGAATTGGATTTGACATTCAGATATGCAATTTGGAAGATAGTTCAAGGTCGGAGATGAGATGTTGAAGAAAATTAAATTGATTTTTAAATCTAATTAGTTTTTTTTTTTTTAAATATCTCGTAGATGATTTGAACACACGTTATCAATTATACATTTGCAAATTGTAGTTTGGGACTAGACATGAGATATTGGAGAAAATCAAACATAACATCAATGTATTTGGTTTCCTCCAATTCTTACGAGAAAAGAAGGCAAGTTTTACTTTTATAATGTATGTAAAATGTTGACCCCAAGTATTTTTACAATGATCCTGTTTGGTAGGGTTTATTTCCAGTTTATTTTGATTTTTAGCTTAATTTAAGTTATTTTGATGTGTTTGGTTCAGCTTAACAATACAGCTTATAGCTTTTTGTAAATCAAAAATTAACTTATTCTTTGAGTGGGGGAGGAGAAGCTTAATTTATAAGTCAAAATCAGCTTATGTTCACAGTTATAAGCTATAAGCTGTTAAACTATAAGTTATAATCACTTTCCCACAACTCTACCAAACGGGGCCAATGTATATGGCATGACCCCAAATTATTTCACTAGTTATGTGATAGTATATATAAATTATATTTATTAATAAAAGTCCCTCAAGTTTCAATTCAAATCAATTTAGCTATAAAAGTGCCTAAGCCTATACTATAAATAACTTATCATCTCAAAAGTTTGATTAATTACCGAAAGGCTCTATCTATTTAGTAGTTAATGTATCGAGCCTTAAAATGTTATGTTATGCTTGTTTCAATCCTCCGTATGCTTTTAATTGCAGAAATAAGAGGTGAAATAAATAGTAGTTTAGCATATATTTTTGAATTAAAAATTAGTTAAACAGATCAAATTTTCTTTTATCCATTGCATCTGGACAGTCCATAGTGATTTATAGCTAGAAAATTACAAATAGCCTTAAAAAAAGCAAGTGTAGAATTCCAAAGAGCAGTTCTGCAAGATTTATTAATAAATTAGTCTGCATATGGAAGCATATATAGTGGGCCTAAGATCAAACAACTTAAAAATATTGTAATAACAAAGTTATTGTTAAAATTATAAATCAATACTTGTAATTACATATTTTGAAGAAAAAATACCAAACAAACAAATAATTTTGTAATACATCAAAACTTAAGGGGCAAGAATATAATAAACAAAGCCTTAGAAAGGTTGTAAGGATCAAATTGGAACAAATAAGAAAGTTCAAGGATCAAATTGACAAAATTCAAAGTACAATGACCAAATTGAAACTTTGAGAAAAATAGGAGGCATGTAATTAACCCTATACATTATGAGCCTATTAAGAAATAACTGACATAAATTTATTCAATTTTCTTACTAATTTTTTTCATAATGCTTAAGTAATTATCTTTTTCTAATTTTTTTTGGCTACTTACCTTAACCCCTACTGAGAATTTTTTTTGACTTCCTTCCTGCTTTTTGTGGGGTGCCACTATCTTCGAAAAGCTAACAAATGTCCTTATAACACAATTAAAAGATAAAAATTTAAAGAATGCAATGTTTTTTCACTAAATTTAATATATTTTTATTAAAATTAGTATGTATTTTTAATTTTTTAATATATTTTTAAGAGACTTTTTGCATGCTTTACAACATTAAACAATGTTCATGAAACATTTATTATCATTTGTCTTTATTTAATGAATAATGTAAGAGACTCCAAAAGATTTATCAAAATGAGTAATGCTAAAGATTTTGATAAATCTTTTAGAGTTTCTAACATTTTTCTTATTTAATAGGAATAAAGAGAGAGATAATAATTGTCATCCAAAAATACCAGCTAGCGACACATTAAAATCTATAAAATTACTTCTATGAATGTGAAATCCATACTCATGTGAGTATTTGATAAATTTGTTTGAGAAAAAAATTTGAAGTCCAACATTGTTGATTGTGGTCATCAAAACTTTACTGTATTTTATTAGTCTCCATTTCACTTTCTACTGCACCTTGATTATGCAAATTGGGATTAGTAAAACCTCGATGCCAACACGTGCTTGCTCACGTGTGGCTCCACCAACCCAATATGGGTTATTATTATTATTATTATTATTATTATTATTATTTTATTTTGTTTATTTATTCTTAAAAAATATAAATAAATACTATAAGAGTTGAGAAAATCAATGCAACATGAGAACTATATATAAATAGGAAAAATTAACCTTATATACCCAACTATTTAGCAAAAGTATATATATATATATATATATATATATATATTATATATTTGTGACAATGGAACCTTGATTAATTCCATGTTTCATTTGAACAGTCAAGTAATTTAACAATGTCTTTGGTTTTATATAGTGTAGTTGTGGCTACCATCATCACTGTTATTATAATTATTATTAATCTTCATTTAATGGTTGAATTTATTAAATGGTTATGTATTCATTCAGTAATTAGGGAAAAGTGATTGGGAGCTCTACATAATAAAGTACTAATATCTAATGAGGTGGAAATGTAAAAAAAAAATATTAAAAAAAAAGAAGAGAGACACCCATCACATCATATGGGGAGCCAACTCATTAGTGCTCTCTTAGTGTTTCATTTTTAGTGCTCCCAAGTATTTTTGGTAAGTAGGACTACAAAAATGCTTCCGACCTCTAAATCTTCATCACTAGACGAGCACTAATAACGTGGCTACCTACGTGGGAAACTGATGCGAACTCGCCCATTTCTCTCTCTTTCTTATTCATTTCAAATTTCAAATTCATGTTCACAATACATTTGAAGTCTCTCTCTCTCTATTCTTTCTTCTCTTCTCTCCTCTGTTGTGACTCTCCTTGGCGACCCGACGAGCATAGCTCTCCAACCCCGGCGACGATCGAGGTTGAACGCAGCTTCTACAACCCAAGCGACCCGACGAGCGTAGCTTCCGACGATGAGAGTCACTCACGACGACCGAGTCCCTCTCTGTCTTCCCACCGGACTCGCTTCTCTCGACTCTATGTTTTCTCGACAGATCTGTCTGCACAGGTCAGTTTTCTCTCTCTCTATATATATATATATATATATATATATGTATATATGCCCTGATTTGTTGGGATTTTTGTGACTTTGACTTTGATTTCATTTGCTCTCTTGCATTTGCAAGAAATAAATTTAAGACAAAAGGTTAGTTGAATTCCTTAAAAACAAATGCACAACAAATTTCCTTGAGGTTTGCAGACAGATTTGTTGAACAAAGAAATGAGACAAGCTATTCGTGGTTGAACTTAGTTGAACACAAAGTTAGTTGAACTTAGTTCATCTTTATTGTCTTCAAAACAGATTTGTTGAACACAGTATTAATTAACATAAACAGTTATCAGACCAAGTACTTTATTGCAGAAATGAGACAAGCTATTCTTTGAGACAATTAGTCAATTTCTCAGCCTCTATGCCTACGCAATGTTAGTTGCTTACGAAAATTAAAAAGTTAAAGAACATAGAAAAACAAAAGTTCAATTCCTTCCAAATAATGTCTCTATGAAAACTGCTTAAGATTAGAACAAGAAACCAAAACAATTTACTTTTTTTTTTGCTACTAAGTGCATCTGAAAAGTGGCAATTGTATATTACTAAATTAAACTTGGTGGTGGTGTATGAAAGGAAATTAACTAAAATTTTGCATAATCCTTTGAAATTCAGTAGTTTTCATGCCACTTGGTTAAAGATTAAAGATAATGTAACTACACAAATAATAGATATAACATAAATGTTAAAAAGGCACATTTGAGACAATTCATGCCATTGGGAAGTTAAGGCACATTTGAGACAATTCATGCCATTGAGTAAGTGTATGAGACTTTTTTTTTTTGTTTCCCTCTCAAATAGTTTGGGGAGTTGTTTATTTGCCATATATATATTTCCATATTTTTGAAAGGAGCTGCAGAGCATGTGATGGAGAGAAGTGATGGGGTGAATGTGAAGCTTTGAAAGTAAAAGAAATGAGACCCACTTTTCAACTTTTTTGTAGTTTTTTTTTTTTAAAAAAAAGTTTTTGTAGCTTTTTTGTTTTTTTACATTAATTTTCTAATTTTGAAGGAGAATTAACAATTTAGTGTAAGTTTAAAAAAAAAAAATTCAGATCAATGATGAAGTTTACAAACTTCAATAATTAAACTTTTGCATTTTTTCATGAATCTGCAACTATTTTAAAAGGTTACCATTGATTTGTAATTTGTCCATTGATGTGGAATGTGATTCTCTAGCCTTTGTAATCCATCCTTTACAAAGTTTCACCCTCATTTTCCCCACATAAAACAAGTGAACAGAACTTGATGAATAATTTTGTCCATTCATCTGGGAAATAACTACCTGTAGAACAATGAATATTAGAATGATAACATCTAAATGATACTAGAAATTGAATCAGATGTCCCATTGCAAATAACCAATCTTGGCAACCAAGTTTTATATTCTGATCATATGTAACCAGTACTTTGAGGCTCATGATCTTGCTTTAAATCATCCTTCAAATCATCGCATCATTAATATATCAAGTCCTCTTTGAATTCAACTGATCATTATTGTTTTTGCTTTATATTCTCCACCAAAGTGTTGGTAATTCAAACTTCATTAGTCAGGCCGCTAGTTATCATGATGGTATTATATCAGATGTTCAATATTCTGCTATTTGAACTGAGTTATTTTGCTTTTGAAGATAGAAACCATTAGACCCAAGTGCGAATGGACAATATACCAACTGTCACCGAACAACTTCGAAGTATAGGCGAACAACTTTGATTTCAAAGCGAACAACTTCAATTTCAGAGCGCACATATGCAAAAATTGCAAAGAGACATAAATAGAAATTGGTGTTGTATTAATGGGATCTTCATCTTGCTTGTAATTGGTGTTATATTAATTATGAAGATGTAATAATTTTTATGCAAGTTAGAAGATGTAATTGGTGTTATATTAATTATAAAGATGATATGTATGAAGATTTATGATATATTACAGTTATGGATTGAGAAGTATGAA